ATGAAAGCGCATGAAAGCTGCAATAAAGTGATACAATACTAACAAGTCACTATACTCACAATCTGAGAAGATTTCAAGATTTCTAATCACTTCGTGCAGCTCCAGGACTTGCTACACAATAGAGGGGCACAACAGTTTCGATACCCATTCTTCGTTTAGTTACCGTATCGTATACTCTACTAGTGCAGTAAAGAGGCTAGCGGAAACTTGGTTCAAATTTTTCGCTCGCACCAAATTAGTGCTGCGAAGAGCAGTTTCATGCACCTTTCTTTTTGTGCGGGAAGAACGATGCCTACATTTCTCTACAGTGACAAAATTACTTTGGTGCAAAGATTTTGCTTGCTCTCAGCAGACACTACCGCAAGCGGTGCGACGAGCATAAACCATCCTCGCTATCTGTCTCTTCAATGGCGCAGCCAGCGGGTAACGGATCGCAAGGATGTGGTAATGTAGATCTAGAGCACTGACTGACTGGTTTAGAACACTTAGAAATGGGAGGGGGGGTGTGAAGGCCAGGGTTAGGTGGAGCGCTTGCACCAATTGCGCCAATGGCGCCCCGCAATTGCAAATAAGTAGCTTACCGAATTGCTTTCACTCACCTGGGCTAGAACTCTCGAAAACACTAGATACTCTAGTTCGATGAAAAAATGTGCTGAATTATATATATATCGGTTATGCGAAAAAAAATAGTTATGGTGCAAACAATGGCTTCTTCGGCGGGAGGAATTCACCCGCGGACACATTTTAAAAGAACTGAAATTGTACTCTGCGGATTATAAAAACATTAGTTGCATATTAACGAGGACTATAGATGTATGAGGTGTATTCTAAGAATTAAATAACACGATAGAATAAGAAATGAAGAGCTTTGCGAAAGTACAGGACAAAAGGATAGCCCTATAGAAGTAGAAATAGACTAAGAAAGTGGCGATGGATGGGACACACATTAATTAAGAAAGCCCAGCGGAAACATCACAAGACAGTCGCTGCAGTGGAACCCACAGGAAGCACGAGACAGGGGTAGGTCACGGGAAACATGGAGGAGATGTGTGGAAATGGACATGAGAGAGATGAAGCTCACTTGGAACGAGCTAGAAAGGATGGCTCAGGACAGAGATAAATGTAAGGGGCTTGTATGTGGACTATACCCTGCCAGGGGTGAAAGGCATTGATGATGATGATGATGATGATGATGATGATGATGATGATGATGATGATGATGATC